GGAATTTGCTCAGATGGGTCTGAGGGACAGTGAACTGGGCCCCTGTTTAAAAAGTTTGAGGACCCCTGTTTTAAAGGATACCTGAGAAAGGAACAAAGCACCCAGAATAATGCTCAATGAATGTGAAATAAGGTTCATTGTTTTAAACCAATTATTTTAGGAATTATTTATGACAGTAAGGAAACAAATTATGATGATCCTCACTAATTAAAAATTAAAAATAAGTTAATCAAAAAGCTAAAATCTGTTGGGGTTTTATATGCCAGCAACTGAAAAATCCGAAAAGAAACCATGTATTTACATTAACATCAAAGAGAATTAAAAGGCCTAGGAATAAATCTAAGTAGAGATGGAATAAATCTAAGTAGAGATGTGAAGGACAATAAAAACTATAAAACACTGTCAAAAGAGATTAAAGTACACTTAGATAAAAAGATGGTCCATGTTCATGAATTGGAAGACTTAATGTTGTAAAGATGTCAATACTATCCAAAGTAAGCTATAGATTCAATGCAATCAGGATCAAAAATCCCATTTTATAAAAATAGAAAATCTAATCCTCAACTTTATACAGAATAGCAAGAGGCTCTGAATAGCTAAAACAATGTAGAAAGAATAAAGTAGAACGGCTAACATTGCCTGAGTGTAAAACATACTATATGGCTACAGCCCTGATGGCATTGTCAAGTAAAGGTTAGACTAGTAACTGCAAAGCTGACAGTTCAAACCCACCAGCTGCTCCTCAGGAGAAAGATGCAGCTATGTGCCCTAGGAAAGATTTACAGGCTCAGAAAGCCTACAAAGGATCACTATGAGTCTATAGGATCAACTCAATGGGAATAGTTTTTCGTTTGTTTTTTGGTATACAGCTAAAGTAAGCAAAACAGCCTGTTGCTAGTATAAGCAAAGGACTCCTGGGGGCATAGTGGCTGTATGTCAGGCTGCTAACCACCAGGTCAGCAGATCGAACCCACCAGCTGCTCTGTAGGAGAAAGATAGGGTTTTCTACTCCCGCAAAGAATTAGTCTTAGAAGCCTATAGAGGCAGTTCTACCCTGTCCTATAGGGTCGCTATGAGTGGACATCAACTCAATGGCATTGAGTTTGGGTTTGGGCATTATAAAAGAAGGCATACCGGTGAATAAAATAAAATTGAGATGCCAATAATAAGCCACGTGGTGTTAGTCAACTGACTTCTAACAAGAGTGCTAAGTCCATTCAATGGTGCTGGAAAAATCAGCTCTTCACAGTCAACACAATGAACAAGATCCAGGGAGGTTTGGGGTCATGGTGTCATGGGACACTCCAGTTAACTGGCCCAATAATATTAGTTAGTGCTTCTATTCTATCTCCTAGTTCTTTGCATAGGACCTGAGGTCTTAAAAGCTTATAGGTAGTCATCCAAGGCACAATTGGTCTCTAGTCACCTAATGTAACAAAGGAAGAAGGAGAGCAAGGAATCTGAGGAGAATGTGGAATGTGAGGCTAACATTACTGAACATTTTGACCTAAGATGCTAGATAAGAGTACTAATCTAAAGAGAAAAAACATACAAACCATAATTTTAAATTCTATAGGTGCCATACTTTCCATAAGCCTGGAAGGTGGATGGACCCCTGAAACTATTCCCCTGAGATAATTTTTAAGTCTTAAACCAAAAATATACCCTAAAATTTTCTTAAAACAGTAGTTTGACTTAACTCAAAAATGTCTGTCTCGAGCATCATGGTCCTGTAAGATCTATGTGGGATAAAATTTTAACAGTAACTTAAAAAGTTAGATCAGGCCCTTAGAGGGCAATGAATTTATATTAACAATGGTTGAACAGCTCAGAGAAGGAGGGAGAATGGTTACACCACTTGAAGAATGTTATCAAAGTCACTTTATGGGAACTGTACAAACTGATGAACCGATCTGTTTTGCTGTATAATTTCCAATAACAACCAATCAAATTTGGGTAAGGGTTGAACTGAGAGGAAAACTGACATTGAACAAATGTGACAAAAATGTGGGCACTGCTTAAATCTGGGTAATGGGGTTACCTGGGTAGTGCTTAAAACAATCACGGCATTACTGTGCACTTGCATTTCACGCTAACAAAACTGATTCTTTAACAGAGTACCACCAAGAATTTTCTTTGAAGGCAATTACTGGTGATCTTTTACCTTTTGTGCTTTGCTTGTCTATCATTTATATTTTGATTCTATATTATTTTAGACATAAAAATAAAAGCAAGGTGTTGTGCTGTGTTTTGTTGTTCTTATTTTTAAAACAAAGTGAGGAAAGACCAATTATAGAATTAAAAAAAAAGATCAATGTTCATGAAAGTGGATTTGGAGAAATCAAGGTGTGGTAGTTACTTAATTTCATGTCACTTCAAGATATGTAGAGTGTAAGGGTGCAGTGTAGCCTGTCAATCAAGTCACAGTCTGACGTTGGCTCCTTGTGGGAATGGTCTTTGGATCCACTTGACCTTGCACCCACTGGCCTGTGATCTCCCTGCATTCTGCATCATTGCACGTGGCTGTGTGAGTCTGAATAGGGCATATGGACTAGGATCAGACTTATGGACCTGAGTTAGACTGCTGGGATGTTTTCTCGATACATAATTAGTTCTTGATATAAAGTTCTCTCTTATACATCTATGAGTATCACTGGATTTGTTTCTCTAGTCAGCCCAGACACAAGGGCAATAGTCACAAGGGCAATATTATTTGAAGAAATTCCCAAATGTAAGATAAGCATGTCAGGGGTTCTATCTCACTTGTTATTTTTAACTGTATGGTCCAATTCTTGATTTTTTAAAACCATTAAAAACAAAAGGATCCTGGAATGGAGTAATAAAATTTGAAAAGGAAAACATGCTATTTGTTTTTATTTTTAACTGGGAAAATCTAAATTATAGTATGTGACCCATTCTTCTGTTCAAACCCTACAACTTAAATGTTTATAATAAAAATACCTTCCATACATGCAGATTCCAGTAGAGCCATGCTATTTAATGTATATTAAACTACACATACCAACCAGAAAAATCTTCCTAGATAGAGTTTTATATGTTCAGGTAGAAGCAATGATGTTTAAAGTACGTATATCATTTGGGGAAATAATTTATCAGAGTAAGTATGCAAATACTAAGCTTTCCAAATTTAAAAGCTCAGCAAAAAGAAAAAAATCCCAAAAACATGAATGGTGGAGACATAAAAATTAGTTTCTTTTAATACATTACAAAATTTTTGAAGCACTAGGATAATGAAGAAATTTGTCAGCTCAACGTCAGTGCCGGTTAAAATGAATGAAAATTCATCCGGTTAAGTCATCCATAGTAGGGCTAGGACAATGAAAGCAAAATGAACATTCTATTTCTCCATCCATGTTTCATTGGGTCTTTAAACAAAGGGATTCTCAACCTTCATCCACGAACAGCCTGTTTTGTAATGTCCAGTGCTTGGCTTCTCCAAAATCTCCCAGGTTGGCTAGAAAGTGCAAGGCCTCTATGATTCGCTGGGGACTTCAAAGAAAAAGCCTTTATGCTTTTGGTCATAGAGGTGGATTCGCTTTCTTCAAATTTAAAGTGGAAAACAAGTCCAATTTAATCACCAGATTAGTAAATAAACAAATGATAGTCTACCTATATGTACTGGTTGAGTTGTGACCCAAAAAAGTAAGTGTTGAAAGTCCTGGCCCCTATGGATTCTAATCCTATTTGAAAAGGGTTATTGCCTTAATGAATGTTCCGTTTTACCTCTCTGGGTTCCAATATCCATTGCAATGGCATCACAGAAGTTACACACAAAATTCATGATTAAAGGGTTTATAAAGGAAGTTAACAAGGTGTAATGCCAGTGAGCAATGCTCGGGGTTGAGTTGTCTATCGGGATGTGTTACAAAGTTCTTTCAGGCTTGCTAGTCAATGCCCCAAGAAGCTTACCACTCGATGAAAGCCTCCACCCAAAGGCATTCAACTCAAGATCCTTGGGTCAACAAACCTACCTCCCTGAATTAAGTGCCCAGACATATTCCACTCCAGGAAGCCTCAGCCCGAAGGCACTCAGCATCTCACGCCACAAGCCAGCCTCCTGCACAAAAGCACTCAACTCAGCTCTACTTGCTCCGTGCTTCCAGAAGTCCACCACTGCTTCATGCTCTGGCTCCTGGTGCTGCGGCTGCTCCTGATGTTATCGCTGTCTTGTGGATCCAAGAGATTCACCGCACAGGGATCTGGGGTCCACAGATGCAATCCACTCCTGGGTCTTGCTGGTCATGAGATTCCTCCTCCTGCTTCCCAGGGGGCTCATTTTATGAACAGCAGGATGGCATTCCAGGGAATCCTGGTCACATTGACTCACTCACAGGTGAATCCTATCAGTATCTTCCTTCTCTGACCTTCCTGCCACACACCCAGGCAGGAAAAGGTCATTTGTAGGGAGTTAGAGAAATTATCTAGAAGAGTCACACTAAATATTCCATACCCCTGCCAGAGTTTTCGTTGTTAGATTAATAGATCCATGTCAGTATTGGGTGTGTCTTAGACTTAATCACTTCTGAGTTCGATAAAGAGACAAAGCACACAGGAATCATCTATGGCTGTGGTGGTACACACGTTTTCAACTATCAAAATTCAAACATTTGTACACTTAAAAATCAGTGCATGTATCTTCTATAAATTATACTTCCAGAAAGTTGTTGATGTTTTGTCTTAAATAGGGCCCAAAAGACAATGGGAGATAGAAAATATCTTACTATTGTTTGGTTAGAAAGTGATGAATATTGGTCTTCCAACACTGTTCGTTCTTCTATTGCTTCCCATGTCAGCAGTGACCATGTACAGTAACACAGAGGACACTGAGTCAGTCAGTGAACACACTGGTCCTCAGATACCTGGAGTGTGCGCCTTCTGTTGACTCCAGAACACGTCAGCGTGCAAACAGCATTTTACAGGAGTCAGAGTTTACATACCAGTAGTTTTTATGAATACGATGATTCAGAAAACCACATTACCTCGTGTTTCAACAGCATTGATGCATTTTCTGAGAATTGTGAATCCCATCTTATCCAACTGTGCACCTAAAAGAAAGAGTCAGAAAGTAGTAAAGGCTCAGTTAATTGATCATATTTTCTCTTTCCTAACAGAAGGGAGGGAAAGGCAGTGTTGGAAACTTTCAAATCCTGTCTAATGTATTCTCTACTTAGATGATGTAAATGAGAATTTATTTGTTGGATACCAGGACATCTATTGTAACTGTAACATTAAATTTCTATGCTTAAAAGGGTTCTAAAGTAAAAAATATACCTTATTTTAAAACAGTGAGAAAGATATTAATACAACTCTTTACAGGACATGACCCCAAAACAGTTGTGAATGGCCAATTTCGATAGCATCTGGTTTAAAAAAAAAAAAACACATACGAAACCATGTTCACATGTAGGATAAAGCTTCATAAATTTCCTGAGAACCTTTTATTCCCATTTTTTAAAATTATGAACTGGGTGATTTACAGAGTAGATCATCAGTTTCATATAAGAATTCATTGTCTCATCTCACTAACTGCAAGTCCCTCAGTGTAAAACATCATTTATCCACTTCCTCTCTGTGTTTCCAATTTATATTCTTTCTTTCCCAACTCTGCTGGACTCTGTCCTTGGTTTGGCAAATGGTGCCCTTTTGATCTCAAATGGTTGATTATTCTAAGGTGTGTATAGCTCACACATGTTACTGCTCCCCTTTCAGACTGACTGCTTAACTGAAAATGGAGCCACAGGGGTGAGTACATTCCAGCCCTGAAGGGTGACGAGGGGCCAGACTGTCAGGGGCTCAGAAGAGCTTGGTAAATATAGTATGTGGGAAATGCACTTGAAAATAAAATTTCATATTTTATACCATGTTCTCTGAGCTCTTAAAATAATGGTTTTAGAACACATGATCCATGTACCAAAACAGAATTATTTTGGAAATAAAATTTCAGAATTTTTCCAATATAGATGCTGCCTATGATTAGGCTGGAGCATTTGTTTTTCCTTTAATAAAAGGCAAATGTTTCTAAAAACTCCATCAGGAGTGTGAGCAACTTGGGTCTCTCCATCTAGAACCTGGGGTTCAGTGATGCGAACCTTTGGCTGCAGAGGGAAGGGCATGAGCAACTCAAGAATTAAACTTGGCCGGTTTCCCATGTGAGTCAGGACTCCGCGAGGGCGGAGAGTTGGAGTTTGAGATAAGCTTGGGGGCATTCTGAAGGGCTGGTTTACGACTCAAGGATTTACTGTTCATAAAGTTTCATGAAATGCAAATTATTTCTGTAAGAGTAGCAGAACTGTTTTTCCCAGAGCATGTTTTAATTTCTCCATAAAGAATTAAGAAAGGTGCGAAAGAAGGGAAAGGGGGGAAAGGGAAAGGAGGGATGAAGAAAATCAGAGAGAAGGGGAAGGAAAGAAAAAAGAAGGACAAGGATGCCCGGGTGCAGCACACGGTGGATTTCCAAGGTCAGGGAAGAGGAAACGTCTTTCCTCCAAGAAGGTGTGCCATACAGCACGTCTTCAAACCTTGACTATGTGATAAACACAGCCCAATTTCCCCCCCAAAGACATCAAAATTAAAGTCGGAAAGAATCCACCGAACCAGGTCACATTTTCGTTTTATCTCAATACAAATCATGAGTACAAACACAAGCAGTGCTTCATGTTCCTTTAGGGTATGTTTGAAAGGGGCATCCTCCTCAGGTATGTTAATACATCAGGCTATGATTTATTGGTTTTGTTGTTAAAGTGCACTGCCATACTATGTCTACACTCAAAGGCCGTAGGGATTTTCAGGAGGAAGACGGATCAACTGCACACCGGGGCTTACAACTTAGACTGGAAGGTAAAGGCTGGGGTACCTGAAACTCTTATGGGATCCCTTAAGGCTTTACAAATAAATATCAAAGTGAACTGTAGAGAGTGCATTGACCCTAAAAAGCTCCAGGTGGCAAAGATCAATGAGAGTTACAACAATACAGGAAAATCGGAGCAGGTTCCCAGTGGCTGACAGAAGACACACATCTGTTAGGAGACTACAGAGAGCGGAGAGGGGGCAGCAAACGACAGTCAGCATCAGGAATGATCACAGCGCAACTGGGGAAATGGAAGAGGACGGGCATGTTATGTTATAATGCTATACATGAGCACTTACATCCTTCTGGTCTTGGGACAGCTCTACTGAAACTATGGAACAGCTAGGAAGAGAAACAGGAAAATATTACCTTTTATATACTGAATCGATTACAATTATTCAATCAGACACATGTAGGACCATGCAAAATAATACATTCTCGTGAATTTGGTGTTGACTGACCCTGCTCTTAGATACAAAGATACGTTAACAAGCTGGTAAATCCGAATCACCTCTGACTGTCTTCTCTCCTGAGCTGTTCCAAGACAGCAAATCGACATGGAGCGCCACGGTTTTTCATGGTTCTTCAGCATTTATAATCCCCAGAACAAGGGCAGAGAAATTGGAGCAGTCTAACCACTCAGTTTGCGATCATTTTTTCACCACTGTCCGTATAGCGTGGCGTTTATTTTCATCTAGGTGACCCCTGCCGACAACTGCGTAAGTCTATTTGAAACACCAAAGTAGTGATTCTGGTGCTGGTCCAATATCCGGAAGACAAAAAACACATGGTGTCCTAAGAGTCCCTATATAAAAACAGAGCACTGTTCCCTGGAGATTGGCTTTCGTCTATTTCTAGGCTACGCACTTGGCTTTCTACAGTGAAGGAGAAGTTGGGGGTGTCTCCAAGGTCACGCAAATATTGCAACAGGTTCATTTCTCAATGACTTAGTCATGTGGTCTTTTTGCTAGGTAAGCTCAGTCTCCAACGTGCTTCTTCATTTTCTGAAGAGATCGCTTCCTTACTCTATCGCTGCTGTTGTGAGGTGGCATCCAGTCGGTTCCTGCAACGCTGCCCTGGCCTGTGCCATCCTAGCCCCTGTTATGTTTTGAGCCCCTTCTTGTTACTGTGGGTAACAGTGGATGGGGCCCATCCCATCCAAGGTCTTCCTCTTTTTTCATTCACCCTCCCTCTACTTTACCCAGCGTGAAGGTTTCCTTCCCAGAACTCCTCATAACATGTCCAAAGTGCTTAAGATGAAGTCTTGCTATCCTCACTTCTAAAAAATAGTCTGGTTAGACTTCTTCGAAGACAAGTGTGTTTTTTCTCCTGTCAGTCCAATGTCACAGTCAATGTTCTTCCCCTGCATCCTAATTCAAAAGCACTACGAGGCAAAATCATCGCCTCCTCCGTGTTTCCTTATTCTCGGCGGCTTTCACATGCGTATAGTGACTGAAAACCCCCTGGCTTGCGTGGAGCACACCGTGGTCCCCAAGGTGACATCTGGCTTCTCAGCACTTTCAGAGATTCTTTTGCAGCACACCTGCAAAATGGCGGTATGTCCTGTGATTTCACTCCAACTGCTTCCATGGCTGAGGGTTTGGGATACAAGTAAAATGGAATCCTTGACAACTTCAATCTTTCCCCTATTGATCATGAGGTTGCTTATTGGTCCAGTGGTGAGGATTTTTGCTCAGCAAAAGCCGCTAACCTTTCAGGATTAAAGTAATGCTTGAATCAAGTGGCAAACAGACAGCATTCCCATGTCTCTGACTCTTTATCTTTATCCCTGACCAATCGGAAGAGTCTCTCAGACACGATGGTCACACAGTATTGCGGACTCTGCACCATTAGACTAGACCCTCAATTGCTAAATCACACAAGAGAAATCTCGCTGTGACTTATCTCATTGCCTGTACCACCTCATGTTTATGATTCCATCTCCACTGGGGTCAAAATGCGTTACAAGCATTGACTGAATCCATCACCCAAACTGCTGCCAGGTAGGATCGAGGCAATTGATAATGTAGATGACTTCCTCCAGCAAAGCAAGCCAGAGTCAGAGTGGCGCAGTCAAAGAGAATGAGAAATAAAAATGAGTGATACGCCAGCCTTCCATGTGCTGCTGAACACGTCCAAGATGAATTCAACCACCAGTTTCAGCAGGAAATATTTTCAAACTACCATGACACACACAAATAACACAAAAATAAACACAAGTAAACTCTCAAGGACTTATAATAAAAACTCAAACCACTGATGATTCTTACAGCTTCTTTTCCACCCAGTGCTTCCATCCACCGCTTCCTTTCCTCTTCGGAAAACGCCTGCAGGGTCAGGGCGACGCCGGGCCTGAAAGACACCGGGAACAGCACGGTGACTACTGGCTACTAAACAACCAGACCTCCTTGC